AGTCCTAGTCCTACAGAACCAAACGCAGGAGAACCAGGCTAGCCCGGGCCACACCAAGGCAATTCAGTGATTCTCAGACATAGAATAAAACATGCTGGAATGGAAGAACATGAAAACAAAGTGTAAGGGGACAGTCTGTAACTCGGTACATACAGTTTCAGAAATTCAGATTCAAGTTTTCTTTCCAGCCCCTGTATTGTTCTACACTTTCTGCTAAACTTTACTCCGTCTGAGAACCACTGAACTGAATTGGTGTTGCCTACATTGTACCTGCTAAGAAAAAGCTTTACAGAGTCTAGAATGCTAGAAACATTTACTGTACACAACGGGACAACATCGGTATTGCTTCAGAACAAATAAAACATGTCTACCGACCTAGCAAATCATGTCTAACTAAAAAAGGCACCTTTATTTAACATGTACATAATTATTATCAGGGTTTCAGACTCCAGGCTCTAAGACTTTGCTGAAAAATCATGATCGAGAAAACAGAATTTTTCCACTTTTTGTTCCTCTTCAGTAGGTACGGGAGAAAACGGACGGACAAGACTCTGACTTTGTAAGATCTAAAGGCAGCTGTATAGTAACTGTTCAGTAGTAAACCTTCAGTAACTGTAGTAGACCTTCAGTAACTGTAGTACACCTTCAGTAACTTTAGGACACCTTCAGTAACTGTAGTAAACCTTCAGTAACTTTAGGACACCTTCAGTAACTGTAGTACACCTTCAGTAACTTTAGGACACCTTCAGTAACTGTAGTAAACCTTCAGTAACTGTTACAGTAGTACACCTTCAGTAACTTTAGGACACCTTCAGTAACTGTAGTACACCTTCAGTAACTGTTACAGTAGTACACCTTCAGTAACTTTAGGACACCTTCAGTAACTGTTACAGTAGTACACCTTCAGTAACTTTAGGACACCTTCAGTAACTGTAGTAAACCTTCAGTAACTTTAGGACACCTTCAGTAACTGTAGTAAACCTTCAGTAACTGTTACAGTAGTACACCTTCAGTAACTTTAGGACACCTTCAGTAACTGTAGTAAACCTTCAGTAACTTTAGGACACCTTCAGTAACTGTAGTAAACCTTCAGTAACTGTTAGGACACCTTCAGTAACTGTGGTACACCTTCAGTAACTGTTACAGTAGTACATCTTCAGTAACTGTAGTAAACCTTCAGTAACTGTTGTACACCTTCAGTATCTGTGGTACACCTTCAGTAACTGTAGTACATCTTCAGTTACTGTAGCACACCTTCAGTAACTGTTGTAACCTTTAGTTCACATATCCTAACATTGCAGCATAGTAAGCTAGAAGCTTTAGGCCGTCAGCATGGCAGTTCTATAGTGGCGGATCTCACATAGCAGTTAGCTAGTCAGCAGTTTGCTAGTCACATAGCGGCTGCAGTAAGCTGGTCACATAGCAGTTAGCTAGTCACATAGTCTGCTATAGTCACAGCTTGCTAGTCACATCGCCGCTTGCCAGTCACATCGCAGCCTGCTAGTCACATAGCAGCCTGCTAGTCACATCGCCGCTCGCTAGTCACATAGCAGTTTGCTAGTCAGATAGCAGTAAGCTAGTCAGATAGCAGTCTGCTAGTCAGATAGCAGTTTGCTAGTCAGATAGCAGTCTGCTAGTCACATGGCAGCTTGCTAGTCACATAGCAGTTTGCTAGTCACATAGCAGTTTGCTAGTCACATAGCAGTTTGCTAGTCACATAGCAGCCTGCTAGTCACATAGCAGCCTGCTAGTCACATAGCAGCCTGCTAGTCACATCGCAGTTTGCTAGTCACATAGCAGTTTGCTAGTCACATAGCAGGTGGCACCAGAGACCAGAGGTGCACAGATGGGGGTAATGTAGTGGACCAGACTTCAGGAAATCCTGAATGTTACTATTTAGATGGGAACAGAAAAGGTGTGTTTTTCTCAGTGTCCTTCTTTTGAATGGAGGAACTTCATAAACACACTTCATATGAGCAAATATTTGGACATGAACAGAAATCTACCTTTGTACTGACGCATTCTAGAGAAAAATCTATCAAAGCTTCCTTCACAATTATTAGAAAATCTGCTTCGAGCCATGATGGTTTACTTGCTGACCAAAGCAAAACCCCTGCTGATTGGTTCTCTGGTCTCTGATGTCACTTTTCAAATCCACCAATGAGACGCTAGCTAAGTAACACTAATGCAGCGTTTATGCAGCTCAAAGCACACATACTACAAAACAGCTCCTGCCATTGGCTACACCGAGACTACATTTATACACAGTTGCAGCAGGATCTATCTATACATGTCTTAATATCGGTAACTATGGCAACCGTTTCTACGGTAACCATGACAGCACATGCCTTTGGCACCGGCACGCTATTGGTTGTTTGCACTCATGTGACTTTAACGGCGGCCATGTTGGAAAGTTAAACCTCCCAGTTTCGAGGCAAATTTGACTCTCTGTAATACCATGTAGATAGTGGCAGGCCTGTGATTATGGGAAATAAAAGTACAGTCTACCACATAAACCACTTGATTGATTGATTAATTGATTGATTGATAGATATCTGACTGAGTGGTTCACAGGTACATGTGGGACACCTAGGTTTAACCAGCCAAGATGGCCGTTGTACAGTCACGTGCAAAAACCGTATTGCTTATATCGGACATATCATGTGCAGCGGGAGGAGGGGTTCAGTCATGTAGTTCTGTAGGGGGG